TGGACTGATTACCACACTTGTGATATTAGTAGGACGTGGATAATGGATATTTCTTGATTTGGTTAGCTCACCCTACTGTTGTGTTTGTGTATGTGAATGCAATGAAACGTATAATGTGTGATATTATACGGAGCATAAACTATTTCAGATGAATTAGCTATGGTTCCGGACTTGCTTAGAAGATGAGAGATTTGTGGGAAAAAGGAGACATGGGAATTCTAAAATAAATCTAATTTGAATTTTCGAACTGTGTGAAATTTTAAATTTCAGAAGTTTATGACTGTGTGGAATTTTATTTTCAGAAGACTTGTGTTGTAATAAATAACGTAATATTTTGTGGGTTGAAAAAAATAAAAAAAAATTATATATGTATTTTATTAATTGAAATAAAATTCCACACAGGTCAGAATCTATATTTACCGAGACCAACTTAGTAACAGAAAATACAGGGGTAACGAATTTACTCAAACATGCAGGATTTATTTCTCCAAGTACAGACTTCTATTTTCAAATCCGAACGGTCAAAGTGTAGTATATAGTCTTAGGTCACATATTAAAATTTTAGCTAAATCCAAGGTGAAAACAATTAATGAAAATTTTCACCACAGTAACTCGAAAATAAGAAATTATGATCATGATGAAAACCAAATTTTACACAAGTCAATAGATAACTACCATTACCAAAATTTTAAACATATTCATACTAATTCATGATCATAACAAGAAGGATTAGACTCCCTACCTCTTCTCCTTGCAAGCAATCTTCACTCTTGATACTCCTAACCACCATCTGCTTGTTTTCACTCTCAAATTCAAAGAAAATTCTAACTTAAATCCCTCTTCTTTCTCCTCCTCTCTTTTGGCCTTAATAAGCTTTATATCAAGAGAATGAACCTCTTGGAAGAGCTTGCCAGTAATAGAATGGAAAAGAAAAAAACAAACAAAGAAAGGGATGGTCCCCTTAACCAAAACCAGCACCCATGTTTCACGGGAGACAAAACATCACCTCCATGCTTCAATTATCTTCTTATTTTCTATATTATGAATCTTTTTATTATAAATTTATAAATTATGGCCCTCCTTTAAAAAATACAAACAATAAGTTATCTACAATGCAGAATATGTTTCAAACTAATTACCACTAACCAAAAATTTATTTAGTTATTTATTATTTTTTTTAGAATAATAAGAAATAAAAAATTAATTATTAAAAACACAAATACATAAAATTACTTTTATTTTTATATAGGTCTTAACTTTTAACATATTTTTTAAATTTTGCTTTAATTTAAAATTAATAAATAATTAATTATTTAATTATTAATATGTAATATTATATTAATCAAATTTACATATGATTATTATTATTTATTTTTATTTTTAGTTGTTATTATTCTTTATAATTTTCTATTATTAATAGTAATCTATTATATCTTATAATTATATTTTCTATTTCTATCTATTAATTTGGTGTGTTTGAATTCTATAGTTGATTCTTTTTATGTTCCCCTTCCCGTCTCCCTTTTTTTTTTTTTTTCCCCTATTTTTCTTATGTATAATTATTCTTCTTCTTTTTATTTTATTTGTTTTATTATTTTTATTAATTTAATAATAATTATAAAAATAATAAAATATATTAAACGTAGACGGAGGGAAGAGGACTGTCTACGTTTTATCTACAAAACCATGTAAATATTAAAAAAAAATCGGAAAATGTTTGAGCTGCAATGCTATAAGAAAAATGGTAAAACAAGAAATTATGTATCATATTTTCTTTATGTCAATTCTAATTGAAATTTTATTAGAATGATTAAAAATAATATATTAGTGTAAAAATTCATTTAACTTGTTTAGATTTTAATTTTAATAAAAATCGAAACACATACACATTTCAGTTTCAGTTTCGATTCTTCGAGAATTAGTGTCTAAATTTTTTATTAATTTAAAAAATGATATTGATATTTTCTTATTTAATTTTAAACGAAGTCTAAATGAATTTAGGGTTATTTTTTTCTAAAAAATTTTATACTCTGTTAAACATTTATCCTTGTAGAAGTTGTTTTTCTCTCTTCTGACTCTCCTCTTCCTTTTTCATATTCATAATGAGTTTTTTCTTTTACCATTCAATTTGTTTTCTACGTTTTTCATTGAGTTTTTTTATTGAGTTAATAAATTTCGGTTGTACCAAAGCCTAATATGAAAGTTTCCTTCACAAATTTATTTCATTCTGCCAACAATTATCCAACAAAGCTTACAAACTTTAAATATTTTGGGTCTACTTGTCTCTATACATCCAAACAAGTTTTCAATGAGTAAATAAGGATGGTGTTTCAGTTTTTTTTTAGTTAATTTTGTTTTTATTTAAAGATTTTTAAGTTTAGAGTTGCTCTCATCCAATTCTATTACATTAATAATTAATAGCAAATCTATCTATCTATATATATAGGTGATCACAACTTATAGTTTAATTGTATTTTCAAGTGCCTCTTTATCTTTTTTTCTTCTTTTTTTCTTCATATTATTTAAAGAATTTATTCTTGAAGTACAATTCACAAATTAATATACAATATGAAGTGAATTTGTATTAAATTGTATTCTAGTTTTAGAAATCAAATAAAAAAATAGATAAATGCTGATTTAATAATAATGAATGATGTTTTTATTTTATTCATATTTTTATTTAATTATATTTTTTATTAAATTAAAAATATATAAATATTGAAAGTGTAAATTCACTTCCCTTTTTTGACTTCTGTTTCCATTATAGACTTTTTTTAATTCTTGAATCTATTAAATATTTACCTTTCTAGTTTGATGGCATTATTTATATTCATATGTAAAATTTTAACACATTCTCAGTTAAAATATATATTATATTTCAAACGAAAATCTAAATAATAATTGTTATCCGATAACAAATAATAACAATAAATTCAACATTGTTAAAATAAGTTTTATATGATTTTAAAACTATATTAAGAATTCAAGTTATATAGAGAAAACCTTATAACCATTACTCTTTTATATAAATGTCATCCAATAAATTTATATTTATAAGTATAATTCTTCTTTATGGATGTACCTATATATTGGATAGTTGGTGGAAGGTAGTGTGCGTACATATTATATTAGAATATATATATAATGATATATGAATGACATAGCAGATAGTAATAAATAGTCTTTGCTCTAATACATACACAAATAAATATTCACGAAATGTGGAGAATATAAGAGGAAGAATCACAACAATTATAATGATAAAGGAGAATATTAAAGAATGAAAATAAGAAGATATATAGTAGGTGAAAGGTTGTTTTTTTTTTTCAAGTTTTAAATTTTGAAATTTTTTAAATACAAATAAAATTTATTTATTTATCTCAAAACTTACGATATATATTTATTTTTTTATTTCTATATTGCAATTAATTGATATATGCAAATTAATTAAATATCAAGTGAAGAATTAGTGGGTAAATAAATAAAAAATAATTAATATTATCTTAAATTTTAAAATATACAATTTAATAAAAAAATAAAACTATCGAAAACTACAGCAGTCGAAAAGATGGACAAGGGAGTGGTTATTTAGAGATATAAATAGAGGTAGTGACTATGAAAGAATATATAATAATAATATTAACAATCATAATTGACTTGGGAAAGTAATAATAATGATTCAATGAAAGCATTATTATTAATAATAGTAATAATAATGTCAATTTACTTTTATTATATTATATTTAAATTTAGTTATACATTTATTTATTGTTTTAGAACCATAAACAACGTTATTAAGTGGGTTAATCCATGTGATAAAATTCATCTACTGATTTCAATGAATACAAAATGCTATATTACCTACACAGTAAAAAATCCCACCATGAGTAAGACGATGCACACAAGGTTCCTCTGGTGTCGAAGTCAGCAAACGATGTTGTAGTAACAAACAAATACACTAGCTTCTTTGGTTAAATATAAGAGTACATGAAAACGAAAAAAGATCATTACTGTTCTGCTATGTACTATCACACTCGAGTGACCCTCTCTATACACAGATCCAGTCCAGACCACTTTATTCAATCCAATCATAGTATTCATTTAGATACACAATGACTTTAGAAAACAAATAAGTAAACACGAATTTAAAGGGACTTAAAGATAAATGATGATATTATTTAGTAATTTGAAAGTGAACCAGATGAAGTTAAAATAAAAATAGTAAAAGATATAGCAAAGTTAAATAGTAGAAATAGAATATACAAGTATTTTAATAAAAAATAATGTAAAATTATATTTTATGGATAAAAATGAATTTAAATATTAAAAAAAAAAAAAAAAATAACAATAAAAGCTAATAAAGTAGAAGTGAAAACTTACTTGAAAAATAAATTCACCCACACAAGATAAACAAAGAAACTGTATAAAACATCATAGATATAAGAAACTTTGTATTGGAATCTCTTAAGTGTATAAAATTGTATAAATGTGTGAAATAAATTCAAAGTCAAAAAATTTAAAAGAATACGCAAGCATACCTGAAACAAAAAATTAAAACTCGGACATTTTTAAAGAAAAAAATATACACAAAGTAAATATTTAAATGGTTACCTAAATTAGATTTCAAAAAAGCAATTTTTTATCTATAACAATTTGATTAGATTTCATATTTTAAAAGCGAACAGACTTCTATGCATGGAAGACAAATTATTTAGTTCTCTTCTCTCTACAATTGATTACTTCAATTAAAAATAATAATTGTATAAGGGTAAAGTAAAGATTTAATTACAAATCGTCTCAAACTGCACAAAATGAGGATATTGGAATTTTCAATAATTCCCCAAATCATCGCTGTGCAGTTCTTCCAAATCAATGAAAATAAACAGTATATCTCATAATCTCGTCTTCACAAATGCATAATATGCATACGAACACAGCATAATAGTTAAGAAAGTTTTCAGCACTTTTTTGTGTAGGTAAAGATTTTTTAGTATCAAAAAAATTCTAATCAAGAGGTCTCTGAGCAAAATTTGGATATGCCCTTTAATTAAGGGCACAAAAACACCAACTTCGATACTACAAAGGGCTACAATATGAAGAAGGGCAACAAACAAATACAAGCTTATAATCAAAGGGAGAACAGTAATATAGAATACAAGGCTACTGGAAAGTTAGATCACGATGATGCTTTTTTACGAGCAAACCGTTGTAAAGATTTTGGTAGTTCAACACCCTCACTAGTTTTCTGCTTCTTTCTTGACATGTTTTCCTCTTCTTGAATTTTCTGCTCCAAGTAGGGCCTCTTAACTCTACTAAGTGCCTCTTGCTTTTTCTGTACCCTTTTACCAGGTTTGTTTCTTCCTTTTGTCTTCTTCTTCAGTTTCATGCCCTTAGCAGCTTCAACAGCAGCTTCCACCTCAGCCTCCCTCTCTTGTTTTGTTGGCTTCTCTCTTTTTGGTTTCACCGTTCCAATCTTGCTGGGATTCAACATGATAGTCTCGGGGGGAAGCTTATCAAGTAGAGCCCGTATTTCCTTTTCTCTTCTCTGTTTGGAAGTTTCGAACGGGTTTGCAACCCATGAGTCAAAGTTGGGTTCTCCAGCTCCTGGAATAAGAATACTAGACCAACCCGTGGAATGCCCTATACCTAAAACGTCTTCATATGGTCGAAATATTAATTTTCCTACCTGGTAACCTTTCACCATGGAATGAGTCATGTACCTGGAATAATTTTGTGTACCAGAAACATCTCGCAGAACCTGGATCAATGAGCCATTACCGCAAGCAAGTAAACCCTTCTGACTAAAATCCAGAGTATTTGCATGACCAGGTAAGGTTTGAAGAACTTCAAATTTCCTTAAGTCCCAAAGCTTGACTTTTTTATCTTTTCCTGCAGTGGCCATCAAGTGGCCATTTGAGTGAAATGCCAGCGCTGAAACAGGCCCCTGATGACATAGCATCTTGATAAGAGGAGCAGAACTGGTCGGCTTCCACATGGTGACAGTACCACCTGAGTGACCTAAAGAAACAACTCCATTGAAGGGGTTTACTTGCATCACATCTGTACGTCCTAAGCCAGTTCGAAAATTACCAACCATTGAACCCATTGTAACATCCTGATAGCGAAGCTGCCCAAACTTATTGAGTGTAGCCAAGAGAAAATGGTTTTTCAGAAACTGAAGCCTCAACACCGGACCATGTTCCTGGAAAAAAAGGAAACCGTTTGTCCTATAAGGAAGCATCCCATGTGTCCAAAATCTTACATTACACCAAAAGTATTCCATATCTCACTAATGTACATCAAAATAGACATTGACATAATCTACAATTCAAAAAAATATGATAACAAGAACCATGATCTTATATTCTTATATTTGACAAATATCAATGCACGCAATGTACATATCTCACTAATGTGTACATCAAAATTGACATTGACATAATCTACAATTCAAAAAATATGATAACAAGTACCATGGTCTTATATTCTTATATTTGACAAGTATCAATGCACACAATCAAAGTAACAGAGAATTATAATTCAAGGATTGGATCAATAAAAAATAAAATCCTATGCATACATACATATATAAGAGTGTATAAGTTGATGATCTAGTGTGGCGTAAGTTATAATCCCTCCTAGTATATAAAGGGGGTGCATCAATTGAGAACTCTTATTGTAACGAATGAAAACTATAAAGTCATACAATCATACTTGGATTATCAAAATGAAAAGTTAATTATTTGTCACATGATCACTTAAAAAGAAATGTCCATTAATCTTCTATTCAAATATGACTGATTGCACAGATTTATAGTTCTGATTTCTCAAAATAACGAGTGCTTACTTGTTACATTCTCGATAGAAATGTCATCATTAAGTTCCACTAATGGTATCTCAATCCTAATTTCAACATAATTTAACCAGCCTAACCAAATAAATGAACGGGTACCTGCTAACTCGAATTAGGAAACAGAGAAGCATAGAAAGATTGTATTCCTTGATTGATTGCAAAAGAAAACAAAAAGGAAAGAGGTCTCTCCCCAAACAGTTTCCTCTTCAAAATAAATACTTCCTTTTACAAAGAGCAAGTGCTCAATTTACAGAATGATAGGTCCTAACTAATTTTCCCTCCCCTTTCTCCTAACCCCTAACAGTGTCCAAATTAGGATTAATAGCAATGTGAAGCAGTACGGTATTGGATCTGCATGTCATAACATAACCAGGTTTCTGGGTAGTAAAAGAGTTTATTGAATCTTCAGATGAATAACATTGGAAGAAAAATATCAACTAAATGTGATATTTAAATGTCAAGTATACCAAAATGAAAGGTTTAAATACAAAAGACAAACACTTGTTCATCACGTATGAGCGTATGCAGAAACACTCCAAAGAATGGAACTAATAGCTAAAATTTATAAAAAAAGTAATTGCAAAAGAAGTATACCAACCTTAAGGCAGTGAAGTTCAGTGCCTTCTCGATTATAGATGTATGGATACCTGTCAAATTCAATATTCAAGTCATCATATACATGAATTCATGGATATCTTATTTTGGGTTCCACATTACAGAAAAACAACACGAATATCACAAGATTTACATGGATTGATTAGCTCATCACGCTACCACAAAACCAGAGATAAAAGTAAAAATCTAAAAGATTATATAAAGAACTGAAGTCTGATATTCATGTTTAAGTACTAAGCAGGAAGCATATGGAATTAAGAAACATAAAAACAAGAATTAGGTAACCATAGTTTTTAAATTCGTTTCACCTCCCAAGGGGAAAAATAAAATTAATCCTAAAAGAACACATCGTTGGCTATAATTTATTGCAAGAAAAACCTCTAAAAATTATGCATTGTTGAATGCTATTTTCTTCAAAGTCACATATAATTAGTTAATAAGTCACATTGGGGTGCGTCATATAAATTGAAGTTCCCTGCCCCAAATTTTTTAATTAAAGTTTATTCATGTCACTCTTTTATTTTGGGAACTTCCAATCATACCCCTCCCCCAACCACACTTATTTCACCAATAAGATTTAAGAGATGCATTTGTTGTAACAACATAAATTAAAGGGTTGAATAAATTTTTAGTGCCTCCAACATTAAAATTGATACCTCCAAAAAACATTTTAATGTTTTTGATATTCAACATTTAATAAATATGTTAACCTGGTGCACTCAGTTATTCTGTTACTTCTGAATTAATGGTGTTGACGTCCGAACTATGAAAGTGTCACATGCCAAAATACTTATAAACATGTAACTAGGATGATTACATGTCAACGTCATTAATTCAATAGTAATCAAATTACTGTTAGAACCAAGTTGTTACTTAGATTAAACAATGGAATACCAAATAAAGGAAGATAAATTACTTTTTCTGTGCAGCAGCGAAAAAGAGCTCATTGTGCAAGAATACCACATCACGCACTGTTTCCCTTACCTGAAACAATAAAAAACAGTTTTCTGGAAAACTCAATAATATATGGTCAGCTGATTAAAAAAATCCTTATATGGTCAATTGTATTTGTAACCAGTTTTCAGCTAGCATGAACCTAGGATCGTTTTTTGAAAAGAAAAAAAAAATCTTTTTCACCAAAAATATGTTTTAAAATGCTATGGCAATTAACAATCAACTATTTACAAAAACCTCAACAAACATTGTTTTGGTTATTTTCAGTGGTCAATATCAGCACTAAATGATGTCATCTATATATGTCACAATGAACAATACCACTAGAAAAGAAGAACTCAAACAATGTTCTTGAACATAAAACATATTATGAAATTTATTAGTTAGTAATAGTAAAACCCTGCATAGCAAGCTCAACTAGGATTGGGCATACCTGAAGCTCTCTAATTAGGCTCAAATTTATCATGTCCACTATTCCTAGATGGCCCTTTCGACCACCCACAGCCATGTACCGGCCACTTGAAGTAAAATCCAGTGTGTATGGACCAAGTTCTGCAAATATGGATTGTAAACAAATACAATAAATGGCCAATCAAGAAGATAACAGAGTCAAGAGCAAGTAAAAAAGAAAGGAATATTATTTTTACGGTATAACTAAACTAAAAAACTACATCAAATAAACATCAACTTTCTCACTAGTCACTTAATTATGAAGCACACAGCTACAATAATTTTTACTGAAATTGAACTCATTGCATTAAATTATAATATTTAATATGAAAGACAGTTAGGGAGCAAAAATCTCTTAAAGGGTTTATCAGTAATAAGAGTCGGGACTTAAGAGCAAAAGGCTTACAAACAAGACCATCTGCTACCTATAACAATATACAAGCAATTATGTGCAAGTTACATCAGTTTCCCATTTTTATACACTTGGACTGATTGTAGAGGGTTTATCTCGCCCACAGAACAATGATTTGGCCTTGCAAACCAAAAACAAGGATTTTCGTTGAGTTAGAACAGGAGAGAAAATAAGGTTCATGCATCCTGCATCTCACATCAAGTCCCAACTATTCATTAAGTTACTGAACTAAACAGATTTGCGTTCAAGTTTGTATGTACTTGAATTGAGTGTAAAAGGTCAATCTGACCTATAGCACAACAACCGTTTGGCTTGGTAGCCAAAGAAATCGGGTTTTCCATTATACAACAGGAAAAGAAAATGAACTACATACATACAAGCATCACATGTCATGCTCAATGTATTCTTAATATTAATGAAATATATGTAAATACACCATTAAATAATTTACATGCAATAATCAGTAGTGGTATACACATATTCCTTGCACAAGGTAAATATAGGCTTTATGGCTAATGAATGGAGAAGATTCTGAGAGAACAATGAAATAAATCATAGTCCATAAGTCTAGCCTCTCACAGGCAGGAACAATCAAACAACCCATAGCAATGTTTTAAAAACCAGTTGGTCATTGAAACGGTCAAGGTACTAGGTCGATGAGTTACTGACTGAACCAATGAATCAATAATTGAACCATATGAACTGGTCTATAAATAAAAGTTGTATAATATATATATATATATATATATATATATATATATATATATATATATATATATATATATATATATGACACNCTTTTTCTGTACCCTTTTACCAGGTTTGTTTCTTCCTTTTGTCTTCTTCTTCAGTTTCATGCCCTTAGCAGCTTCAACAGCAGCTTCCACCTCAGCCTCCCTCTCTTGTTTTGTTGGCTTCTCTCTTTTTGGTTTCACCGTTCCAATCTTGCTGGGATTCAACATGATAGTCTCGGGGGGAAGCTTATCAAGTAGAGCCCGTATTTCCTTTTCTCTTCTCTGTTTGGAAGTTTCGAACGGGTTTGCAACCCATGAGTCAAAGTTGGGTTCTCCAGCTCCTGGAATAAGAATACTAGACCAACCCGTGGAATGCCCTATACCTAAAACGTCTTCATATGGTCGAAATATTAATTTTCCTACCTGGTAACCTTTCACCATGGAATGAGTCATGTACCTGGAATAATTTTGTGTACCAGAAACATCTCGCAGAACCTGGATCAATGAGCCATTACCGCAAGCAAGTAAACCCTTCTGACTAAAATCCAGAGTATTTGCATGACCAGGTAAGGTTTGAAGAACTTCAAATTTCCTTAAGTCCCAAAGCTTGACTTTTTTATCTTTTCCTGCAGTGGCCATCAAGTGGCCATTTGAGTGAAATGCCAGCGCTGAAACAGGCCCCTGATGACATAGCATCTTGATAAGAGGAGCAGAACTGGTCGGCTTCCACATGGTGACAGTACCACCTGAGTGACCTAAAGAAACAACTCCATTGAAGGGGTTTACTTGCATCACATCTGTACGTCCTAAGCCAGTTCGAAAATTACCAACCATTGAACCCATTGTAACATCCTGATAGCGAAGCTGCCCAAACTTATTGAGTGTAGCCAAGAGAAAATGGTTTTTCAGAAACTGAAGCCTCAACACCGGACCATGTTCCTGGATTAAAAGGAAACCGTTTGTCCTATAAGGAAGCATCCCATGTGTCCAAAATCTTACATTACACCAAAAGTATTCCATATCTCACTAATGTACATCAAAATCGACATTGACATAATCTACAATTCAAAAAAATATGATAACAAGAACCATGATCTTATATTCTTATATTTGACAAATATCAATGCACGCAATGTACATATCTCACTAATGTGTACATCAAAATTGACATTGACATAATCTACAATTCAAAAAATATGATAACAAGTACCATGGTCTTATATTCTTATATTTGACAAGTATCAATGCACACAATCAAAGTAACAGAGAATTATAATTCAAGGATTGGATCAATAAAAAATAAAATCCTATGCATACATACATATATAAGAGTGTATAAGTTGATGATCTAGTGTGGCGTAAGTTATAATCCCTCCTAGTATATAAAGGGGGTGCATCAATTGAGAACTCTTATTGTAACGAATGAAAACTATAAAGTCATACAATCATACTTGGATTATCAAAATGAAAAGTTAATTATTTGTCACATGATCACTTAAAAAGAAATGTCCATTAATCTTCTATTCAAATATGACTGATTGCACAGATTTATAGTTCTGATTTCTCAAAATAACGAGTGCTTACTTGTTACATTCTCGATAGAAATGTCATCATTAAGTTCCACTAATGGTATCTCAATCCTAATTTCAACATAATTTAACCAGCCTAACCAAATAAATGAACGGGTACCTGCTAACTCGAATTAGGAAACAGAGAAGCATAGAAAGATTGTATTCCTTGATTGATTGCAAAAGAAAACAAAAAGGAAAGAGGTCTCTCCCCAAACAGTTTCCTCTTCAAAATAAATACTTCCTTTTACAAAGAGCAAGTGCTCAATTTACAGAATGATAGGTCCTAACTAATTTTCCCTCCCCTTTCTCCTAACCCCTAACAGTGTCCAAATTAGGATTAATAGCAATGTGAAGCAGTACGGTATTGGATCTGCATGTCATAACATAACCAGGTTTCTGGGTAGTAAAAGAGTTTATTGAATCTTCAGATGAATAACATTGGAAGAAAAATATCAACTAAATGTGATATTTAAATGTCAAGTATACCAAAATGAAAGGTTTAAATACAAAAGACAAACACTTGTTCATCACGTATGAGCGTATGCAGAAACACTCCAAAGAATGGAACTAATAGCTAAAATTTATAAAAAAAGTAATTGCAAAAGAAGTATACCAACCTTAAGGCAGTGAAGTTCAGTGCCTTCTCGATTATAGATGTATGGATACCTGTCAAATTCAATATTAAAGTCATCATATACATGAATTCATGGATATCTTATTTTGGGTTCCACATTACAGAAAAACAACACGAATATCACAAGATTTACATGGATTGATTAGCTCATCACGCTACCACAAAACCAGAGATAAAAGTAAAAATCTAAAAGATTATATAAAGAACTAAAGTCTGATATTCATGTTTAAGTACTAAGCAGGAAGCATATGGAATTAAGAAACATAAAAACAAGAATTAGGTAACCATAGTTTTTAAATTCGTTTCACCTCCCAAGGGGAAAAATAAAATTAATCCTAAAAGAACACATCGTTGGCTATAATTTATTGCAAGAAAAACCTCTAAAAATTATGCATTGTTGAATGCTATTTTCTTCAAAGTCACATATAATTAGTTAATAAGTCACATTGGGGTGCGTCATATAAATTGAAGTTCCCTGCCCCAAATTTTTTAATTAAAGTTTATTCATGTCACTCTTTTATTTTGGGAACTTCCAATCATACCCCTCCCCCAACCACACTTATTTCACCAATAAGATTTAAGAGATGCATTTGTTGTAACAACATAAATTAAAGGGTTGAATAAATTTTTAGTGCCTCCAACATTAAAATTGATACCTCCAAAAAACATTTTAATGTTTTTGATATTCAACATTTAATAAATATGTTAACCTGGTGCACTCAGTTATTCTGTTACTTCTGAATTAATGGTGTTGACGTCCGAACTATGAAAGTGTCACATGCCAAAATACTTATAAACATGTAACTAGGATGATTACATGTCAACGTCATTAATTCAATAGTAATCAAATTACTGTTAGAACCAAGTTGTTACTTAGATTAAACAATGGAATACCAAATAAAGGAAGATAAATTACTTTTTCTGTGCAGCAGCGAAAAAGAGCTCATTGTGCAAGAATACCACATCACGCACTGTTTCCCTTACCTGAAACAATAAAAAACAGTTTTCTGAAAAACTCAATAATATATGGTCAGCTGATTAAAAAAATCCTTATATGGTCAATTGTATTTGTAACCAGTTTTCAGCTAGCATGAACCTAGGATCGTTTTTTGAAAAGAAAAAAAAAATCTTTTTCACCAAAAATATGTTTTAAAATGCTATGGCAATTAACAATCAACTATTTACAAAAACCTCAACAAACATTGTTTTGGTTATTTTCAGTGGTCAATATCAGCACTAAATGATGTCATATATAAATGTCACAATGAACAATACCACTAGAAAAGAAGAACTCAAACAATGTTCTTGAACATAAAACATATTATGAAATTTATTAGTTAGTAATAGTAAAACCCTGCATAGCAAGCTCAACTAGGATTGGGCATACCTGAAGCTCTCTAATTAGGCTCAAATTTATCATGTCCACTATTCCTAGATGGCCCTTTCGACCACCCACAGCCATGTACCGGCCACTTGAAGTAAAATCCAGTGTGTATGGACCAAGTTCTGCAAATATGGATTGTAAACAAATACAATAAATGGCCAATCAAGAAGATAACAGAGTCAAGAGCAAGTAAAAAAGAAAGGAATATTATTTT